CACGTTACTGATTTTTATTTTTAACATTTTCTTCTTAGCACAATACACACAAAAGATGACACTGAACTCGCTTTCCTTTCATGATTGAGCGCTTGGGAATCGTTCCACCTCGAAACCAAAAAGACGTCTTTGCCTTTGTGTTTGGCCGTCTTTCCCTGCGCAGCTCCTGGAGCAGGCGCTGGTGATCGAGGAGCAGCTGCGGCGCGCCGCCTACCTCAACATGTCGGAGGACCCGTCGCACCCGTCCATGGCGCTGAACACGCGCTTCAGCGAGGTGGAGTGTCTGGCTGAGTCGCACCAGCACCTCAGCAAAGAGTCCATGTCGGGGAACAAGCCGGCCAACGCCGTCTTGCACAAAGGTCGGTCGCCATGGGGTTGTCATCAGCTCGGCCATTAGACGGGCAATTTGATGTTGTGCGTTGAACATCGTTCCACTGAAAACTCTCTGGTTGTGATCGGGGAGTCGGGAAAGAGTGAACGATTGCCAATGTCGTCAGTCATTCACTCCTCCTAGACTCCACAGTCCCAACTGAGGAATTGGCAAACAGACTTTTTTTTTTAAAATAGTGAGTTATCTAGAGTCCGGAAACAGTCTGTATCGGCGCAATGCATGGCAAGATATGTTTTATTTCCTCATGACTGTTGTTCACCACGATACAAAGAGAGCACCAGCCGTTGAGCCCACGGCGCGCAAAGCTCTGAATGAAACTCCTCAATTTCACTACGACATGATTCATTGGCACCAAGATGGCAGCAATTCACTGTTTTTGTCATTTCAACATTATTCTTTGACAAGGTGGCGACAAAGCACAGTTTTTATCGAAATGAAGCTCCTCTTTCAGCATTGTTTTTTTGACAAGATGCTGGAGAAATAACTACTTTTGTCTGGATGAAGCATCTCAATTCACTTCAATAATGTTCCTTGACAAGATGGCGGCATGCGCTGCTTTGGCAACAAAATTGCAGCAAAGCACAGTTAGTTTTTTGTTGAAATGAAATTCAACTCATATTGTGGTTCGGAGGCACCCAAATGCCACAAGACGATACTTTTCTTGCTTCAGCGTGACCACAAATTAGCCAAATTAGTTTTTTTTTTTTTCATCGAACAGATCGTGTCAATCTGAAAATATGTGAGGCTTATTGACCGCACAATGCAACAGCACAACATCGTGGATAGGAAGTGATTGCCAGCATTTGGGACTCCCCCAGTTAGCGTGGCGCGTGCTGATGATGTCATCATGTGTTGCTTTGCCGGCCGGCCAGTGCTGAAGCAGTTGGAGGAGCTACTGAGCGACATGAAGGCGGATGTGACGCGGCTGCCGGCCACCATCGCCCGAATCCCGCCAGTGGCAGTGCGTCTGCAAATGTCAGAGAGGAACATCCTCAGCCGCCTGGCCAGCCGGGGGCCTGACACACACACGCCGGTGCAGACGCAACAGGTAGGCGCCGAACGAAGCTCGCCAAATTCAAAGTTGCCGGAAGGAAGTTGATACTTCCTTTCTTTGTCCCCTGTCAAGATGTCTCAGCAGTAGACGGACGGACGGACGGGCGGACCGACAGGCGAACGACGCTCAGCTCTTCACCTCTAAACCATTCCTGATTGGCGAAGGACGGACCGCCCACGTTTGAAGCCACGCCCAGCTTCTTGCCAAGATACAAAACAGACAGACTTTGAGTTTCCCGGAGCGCAGATGTTTGGAAGGACAGACGGATGTCCTACCCGTACTCTGCGTTTGAGGCTGTGGACGCAAAAACAATTTTATTTTATTTTTTTCTCTTTTTTCAACTTCTGTATTAATATTATTGATATAATGTTATTATGTTTTTTTTGGGACCTAAATAAAAAAAGTCAAATTAAGTAATTTTTGGCTCCTGTTGAGCAAAAAAAAAAGGTTGGGTCAGCACAAATGCATACTTGATATTAGTAATACACAGCTCTGATTTGTCATCCAATTACTAAGTGAGTGCAATCAATGTTTGGGGCCGAACATCATTTTTTTTCTTTTGTCAATCCAAAACAAAATAACGCTGGCAGGGCTCATCGTGACCACAAGGAGGCAGTGTTCTCAAACAAAACAAACACTGCCACAAGTATTTATAATCCATCACAGATGAAAGTCCTCCGGATTTTCCCGGAATTCCGGGTTTTTCAAATTTTTATGAAAATTTCTCCGGAGAATTGAGGAAAATAAAATTAATCCGGATATTAGTTGACAACATTGGACGAAGACGCGTTTGAGTTCGTTGTATTGATTTCACGAGCGTAGCCATATGGAGGCACTAACACTAGTAACCGTAAAGAGATTTTTGTTTGTGTAATAACGACCGAAGACATGATGGCGTTTGACTAATGGTTTAGTAGAACGAATGGCAACTCGCAACAACAGCAGCAAGCGTCATTTTGCCACTTGGGTTATACCATCTCAACTAGAATGTGGGGGTATAGTCCCAAACAATTTTCGTCTCTTTATAAACACACTTGCTAAACCCCAGTGGAACGAATAAAAGGCGCCGTGGACAAGACAGTTGTCGTAAAAAAATATATTTGGCCAAAAAGGGAAAAACACAGATTGGCAGAAAATCGTGTCCGTCCGACTTCGAGTGTCGTCTCGGCTAACTTAGCTTAGCTGTTGTCGTGTGTGACGTCATTTGCGTCTGCGCTGATTGGTTGAAATCAAAAGACGCACTTGCGTACATGTTCGCGCTGAAACCCGCACAGCAGAGAGCAGCGGACTATCTACTGCTGAGGCTCGCTTAGCTTGAGTGGAGTTGCCACAACAGTAATACCCTCGCCTCGCATTCTCATGGCCTCGCCATATCTTGGAGATTTCGAAATTTCGGCCCGAACGGAAGCCACAAAGGGTACACGTGTGCACACAAAAGGAAGATTAATCATTGAATGTCGAGTACCGTATTTTCACGACCATTCGGCGCACCGTATTGTTGGGCGCAGTCTCAGTAACGGGTGCTATTTCTGTATTTGACACATACAA